CACACACACACACACACACAGACAACACACACACACACACACACAGACAACACACACACACTCACACACAACACACAAACACGCACACAACACGCGCGCGCGCGCACACACACACACACACATACACACATACACGCGCGCGCGCGATTACATGTACACAGAAAATCAATTGTTAATTCCGGCGCAAAGTCCAACCTACATCACAGAATATTGTCCGTCCATTTCAAATCTCCACCACGCAGTCTTGATGGAGGAGGCGGTGAGTACGATGAGCGAGCCGAGGAAACTCTTAATACTCACCCGTGTCGCGCTCGAGAGAATACCCGCACAAACCGCAGACGAGAAGCCCCTCCAGAATAAACCTCAGAAAATCAATCTGTTCCGGACTGTAAGCCGCCGACGAGGAGGAAGAGGATGAAGACTCCAACACCCTGCAAAGGATTTCAGTGTCGGCTTCTACTTCATCATGGAATGAGAAAGACCCTTTCGGCGAAGAGGCGACCTCCCGCAGACGCCTCACTAACCTGTCCATCGCGCCCGAAGCGTCCACCATCGCCATCTCCCTGGCCGCACCTTCCGCAGGCAAATTGAGGGGATCAGGGGATCTGATAACACCACCGCGCTAACGGTTAAAGACGACAAGGAAGCCAATACACATGGACACTGCTCTCCGTCCGCTTAATGACATGTGTTTGTGTTTGGGACAGCCAGGTGAGGTGATGAAAATGATCTGTATCCAAACAAGTTGCTCCCCTCGCAGACAATTCCGACCGCCGGATCCGACGAGGTCGATGCTCACCACGTCAAGACACCCGTCCACGTAGGGCGATCGACCGACCACAATGCCGCTACACCCCTCCACGGTCCCGTCCCCGCCCCCAGTCCATCCCCCCCACCCTGCCCCGACCCCCGTCTTCCTCGTCTACCACGTCGTCATCTGCCCTCTCTCCCATATCCTCCTCCATTACACGGCCCTCATTTCACTGCACAACAAGACAAAATTACGGATTACGGACTCCACGACCTAAACACTCCGTTCTACATTCTCTGCAGGTGCCTGGTGAGTTACAGGAGTAGTGACCTATCAATTGTCAATGTCAATTTGCCCAACTCGTCCGGACTGCATCAGACGATTCCATGTCTGGAAAGTCGGACGGTATAAGGGTACCCACCTGCGGCAAGGAAGTGATTCGGCACCACCGCAGCCCTGCAGGTACGGGACTCGCAGCCGTAAGGCTGCGGTTCTGGTTGGCAACCCGTAGGCGAAGCATAATTGGCAGCCCTAATTTCTCAGCCCGCCCTAATTTCTCAGCCCGAAAGGCTGAGGTATAGAACGGTGCGGAGTCTGTGCCCAAGCCTCGTCATTTTTCTGTTTGCACCATCGGGTTGTAGAGGGGTACTGGATGACCAAGGTCAGTTGCTCTTCGCAGCTTCTAGGGGGTGCGTTGTTGGGCCTCGCTCCACAACTCGCAGCCCTAAGGCTGCGGTATAGTGGGCTTCGGCTTCTGTTTCAAGGTGTCGCATTTTTGGCAGTGGGTCGCATTTTTGGCAGTGGGCGACCAGGATGCAAAGTGGGTTCTTAGGTGGCCAGAAAAATTGGGGGACCTGTCCTTGCCAAGATTGCGGACTACCTACAGCTAGCTTTGGTGGAACCGGGACTTTTGGAAAAGGGAAGGATCGGTCCTCGGGTGGAAGTGGACCCCAAATAGAAGCGGGGGGCGCGGACCAGTCCTCGAGTAGAAGCAGACCCCAAAACGACGTGAGGGCACGTGAACTGCAAAAGGGCCCTCAGGCCCAGGCGGTGAGGCCCGTCTTCTCAAAACAGGGAGGTCAGGCACGGACGAACCCGCAGAAAAATCTGAAATTTTGAAAATCCATAGTTGAGGTCGTGTTCTTTCCATTAATAATATTCTAACATTTTCAAAAAATCGTTTAGACTGCGAAATAATCGTCGCGCCGATTCAGCACAATTTCCATTTTTGCCACTCATCCATGTGTGGGCCAACTACAAAAGTGCTCCAAATTCAGTGAGTTTTCTCGCTCGTAAGAATGCGTGAAAAAACCTGAAATTCGAGTACTCGTAGATTTTGTTGTGATCTTTCCAGAAAAAATGCTCAATAAATTTTGAGAAATCATTCCAACTATAAAATAGATCGTGGCCGCAATTTGACCTATGTTTCAATTTTGCCATTCAGCATCTCTCTCTCTCTCTCTCTCTCTCTCTCTCTCTCTCTCTCTCTCTCTCTCTCTCTCTTTTTTTTTTTTTTTTTTTTTTTTCTCTCTCTCTCTCTCTCTCTCTCTCTCTCTCTCTCTCTCTCTCTCTCTCTCTCTCTCTCTCTTAGTCTCATTGCTTTGGATACCTTAGCGTTGCTTTCCCCGCGCCCACGTGGTAGACAATGAGCGAGAGTGAGAGGGTCGCTCCACTTACTCTCAACCCCTCCACTCTCGAAAACTGATAGACGATGAGGGAGAAATGGCCGAAAGGAGGCGATGGAGGGCGCTGACGGACCGTTGCAGCCGGCGCAAAGGGCTCCACTCCAGCGTTACGGGGTTGTTCCACGGTCCTACGGTCATCCGGGACGCTACCAACGAGATAGTGCCTCGGAAATACCGACTCTTCCTCCGTCTACGGAAAAAACAGCTATGAAAAACAAAGTTTTCTCTAGATGGGTTCGGTTATACCGTCGTCCAGCGCAACGATAAGAGTTTGTGGTGTGGTATGATAAATGGTGGATAGTGTCTCAGAGTGTAGTTTTCAGCAAGGATATTATAGTCGGCAGGGGGCACCTCTCACTTATATCTCGCTGTTACGCTATTATAGAATCACGCTTAAAGTTGTTTAGTCTTACGTGTCGATTAAGGCGTTCAAGGGCAGAGACAATCATGGAAGTCGAAGAGGGAAGTGGAGGTAGACCAATCGTGGGTGGAGAACAAAGGACAAACGAAGATGGCGAAGCCATAATAGAGGCCCGTTCCCCCCCACCGGGTTCGTCAGACCCAGTGGACTATTGGGAGGACGAAGACCGTATAAGATCCCTCCTCGAACTCTATTTCGACGATGGGGTCTATCCAATGGAGCTCGACCCTGGCGACATGGAGATTCAAGGTAGAGAGATCAAGTTCACCTTAAATGCCTCTCTCGATGAAATAAAGTTCAAGTGGCTTAAGCAGATAATAGTTTCGATTATTTTTAAAGAGAATGTCAGGTTCTTGCCGAAGAGAGTCGAAGACGACACAAATCGCGCATTCGAGGACAATTGAATCTTAGGTAGTGAGAGGTTCCCAGCGAAAGCAAAAAGGGGTCGGGTGAAGATCGAGGGCTCAAACGCCCTTTCCTACGCCTGTGGATCAAGGGAGGTAGCATAATTTATTATTAGTGAAGGTGGTGTGGACATCCCAGTGGGGATAGATCTGTATACGGTGCAGCTCAAACCATGGATGAATCGTGCAGAGTTCAGGGATTTGAGGCGAGCGGAGGACGATCGAACCTTTTGGGTTATTGCGCTGCAAGGTGTCCTTGACGACATGTCGTTCCTATATTCACAGATTGAGAAAGCAATTGGAAGGATAGTGTGGCCACATCCTCCCGACTCAGATCCTTCCAGGTCGGCACTAGTCAACGCCAAATTTAATATTGATCCGGAGGCGCGAAGTAATATGAAAGATAAATTATGGATTATCACATCAAAAGAGGATCAACTGGATATTAAACTCGCGTGTGCTACGACGATCAACTTGAAGTGTAGTCGTTGCGGACAATTATTCCATACGGAGGCGGAATGTCGAAGAGGAGGTGAAGCTCAACAAAGCGGATAAGGCACAAGTGATAACTTCAGACAACTCTCTCATCGTTAGGCTAGCAAAGAGGGCCGCATCAACAATATCAGGGGTCCATGGGCCCACAACCCTCGCAGATATTGCAGACCGGGGAAGTGGCAACGTACAGATGGCGGCGACCATGTACGGCATGCCACCGCAAGACATTCAGAGCAGCTTCCCAGTAGGTGGTCCAAGCAAGAGCCTGCTGAGGCAGTTGAATTTCGGAGGTGGTCCGGGAAAACCCTTTCTCAATAGTGATCCCCATCTTCAACAACCATCGTCCGCTTTCTATGCATACCAGCCAGCATTTGTCCACGACTACCCGAATTGGGGCATACAGGGGATGCCTGCTAGCGGGGGAAATGGGTTGGGCTTTCCCACACAACAAGGTGGTCGAACAAGCCAGTCTTCGGTGCCCCCCTTTTCGACCTACGTCAGGCGCGGGACATAATCGAGGAGATGCACCACCAAGCGGAACTAGGAATGACACTCAGGCCATTCCGTTCTCCATAACAGTAAAAGACTCGTGACGACACCCTAAGTCGGTTGACAAACAACGAAGACTCAGTATGAGTCGGTGAAGGAACTTAAAACAAAAGCCTCAAAAGGCTCATCGACGCACTCTCCACTCACCGACACGGTAACAGTTACTTCAGGCATGAAGACCACTAGAGACTGTCGTTTAGCCTCCATCGCCAAAGGGCAGCCATCCAGAGTGAAACAAATCCTCTTACCGTTAATTTGCGTGTTTAGAAGAAACAAATTATGGGTGGTGGTGTGGCAGACAGCGACGTTTCCTCTTACGTTGTTGTCTCACCAAGTCACAGATGCTCCTTCACTGCAGGTAATAACACAAGGTCTTAACATGCTCTTCGTGAACCATTTCCCTACGAGAGTCGTTCCAGACTGTCTAATGACACATGTGATAACAGATGTAGACAGCCATAAAGTTAAACTTTTCGTCCCCTTGGTAGATGCTAGGATGGTCGGAGATGTGGTGAAGAAGGTGGAAAGACAGGGCATGAGACTCATACCCATGGCCTGGTTTGCAGAAGGGAGGAAGCAAGAGCTTAGTCGGATCGGGATCGCCCTCAGGCTGTCTGCGAAATGTCTTAATGAAGTTAGAATTCGTTTCAGGTAAAAGTGAGTTCTCTATGATGTAAACTACACGCCTATAAATTTTGAAGTCATTCGCTAATCCAAAAAAACATTAAAAATCGTCAAAGATAATGAGTTGTTGATTATGTAAACTACATATCTGTGAATTTTTAGGGCATTTATCAATGCCAAAAAATAATTAAAAATCGTCAAAGATGGCGGTGTCGAAATGGTGTTGGCACACTCACTCATTTTAATTCTCTTTCTATTTTTTTATATTTTTATCATAGTGTTTATTTTCTGTATTTGATTCTTAATTCAAATTCGGTAAAGAATTTGGATGTAGTGCCCTGACAAATGTTGTTTAGTTTATTTGTCTCCATAACATACTTTTTTTTTTGGAATTTTTTGCAAACGTTTTTTTTTTTTTGGTCCACGTTCAGCCCGAACGGCCGAACGCCGGTTACCCTGTGCCTCTAGTGCCAGCGGCGTGTCTGGAGTGTATTTTTTGGCTGTGACAGACCTTTCTTTGTTTCATGGGTGTTTTGCTGGCTTGTGATGGGGTGTGAACCGACAGTCTGTAGAGTTTTCCATCTGGTGTGGGTGAGTGATAGTCTACTTTGATTTTGGTTAAGGT